GAGTAAATTGTGACAAATTGATTGTTAAATCAAACAGGTAAAACAACATGCAAATTATAATTGTTAGTTAGTGCAGTTCTACTGACTGACGCAAGAGATACAAAAATAATAACAAATCATTTCATGCATATCAGGGCCAGGATGTTCGCCAGAACTGGCAGAACTAACTGATGATCAGGAGCATCCAGTGAAGAAAATGTAATTCCAGAGAAGCTAGATGAGTTCCTTGCATTGATTCCTGCCCACTATGAAAGAAACTGAGATCTCAATGCTATGGTCTTCTGCAGGGAAGAGTCATTGGAGGATCTGCTGAAAACCAAAGTGATCACAAACTTCTAAAGAAAAAACTGATGAAACAGTGACAAATCACCAGGAAGAGATAATAACTCAAGAGTTCTAACTCATTAACTAAATAGCTTAATGACTAACAGTGATGAGCAACCTCTCACTCAAAACTGCCTTGATGTCTCAGAACTGGAAAGGTAACAAATGTGAAATCAACTATCAGAAGGGGATCCAAGAGATTCAAGTCTGATGTCTATACCAGATGAATTTGAAGAAACCATTGAAAAGAACAGCCAATTTGTGAACAGTCGGATACATGCAATCAGTTTTAAAACTCCTGAGTTCTGACACCCAATTCTTGAGCTCTTTGAAGGGATCAAAAGATATAAAGGAGACCCACTTGGCAGAATCTACTTCGCTTTCCAGAAAACTTCTGACAAGGTCCCTCACCAAAATCTTAGTGAAACTAAGCAGTCATACCATGAGGGGAACGTTCTGTACCACTAAATGTTCAGAGGATAGGAAACAATAAATTAATGGTTCCTGCAATTGCAGAGCACCATCAGAATTCCACCTGGTTTTGTGACGGGACTTGTTTTGTTCAACAGATCCATAAAAAAACACTGAAAAGTGGGTGGCAGCAGTGATACAGTAGATTTTGTTGATGACAGTAAGATATTCAAAATAGGAAAGACAAAGGCTGACTGAAGAGCATAAATTGATAATAAAATGACAGACAAAATGTGGATAAAAATGAAACAGAACAAGACAAAATTACAGCCTTTGAACCAACCATAACCACCTGGAGGGAGATTTTTTGGATTCTCCTCAGAGTTGTAGTACTCATAGAAGGTCAAAGAAGCAAATCAAATTTTTAGCTTCACTGAGAAACAAATTTATGCAAGCATGGAAAAATATGATCTGGTCGTATCTGAACAGCTACTTCTAGTCCCCTCATCTCAAAAAAGATACAGGACTAAAAATTGTAAAAAGCTCAGAGAAACACTACATGGATGCACAACAGTATGGAATCTATATCAGAAATCATTAAGCAAGCAAGGACTCTTAAGTAAGCAAGGAATTTTTAGCATGGAAAAGAGGGAACTCAAAGACTGTATGATAAAAGTCAAAAAAGTAAGAAGCAGTGCAAAATGAATGACTAGGGACTAAATTTTCATCAGCTTTTCCAAACAAGAAGCAGAGGGTATCAAATAAAGATACTAAAAATGAAATTAAAAAGAAATTTTGAAGAATTATTTGTGCAAGAGTTAGTACAGCAACTCCTTGCCAGTGGATGCTGAGGAATTTAGAAGTTTGTGTGTGATATATAGTTCCATAACAAGTTCTGCAGGGGTGACTAGAACTTCGTGGAAAAGAGCACCACTGAATTTTATTTTGAACAAGAGAACCACATCTGGCTAAGGAACTCTCAAATCTGGAAAGAGCTGAAAGTTTGCATGAGAAGTATCGTATAGGGTTGTTCTGGTTTTGCTGTTCTCTAGGCATCTGATTTTCTCCACTATTTAGCATAGATACTAGGCTGGATGAACCTTCCATGAGACTCAGTGTGATTATTCTTTTACTTAGCAGGCAATTGCTGCATCTGGAAATGGCAGATGCTTCACAAATGTTTTCTAATTAGAAAGAGCAGGCTAAACTGAAGTATAAAGAGACTCTTCTTCACAAGATCCTTCCATGCAAATTTTAGCATGACACCCTGCATTTGTGCACTTAAGAATGAAAACAGACTCTTAACTGTATACTGATAGAAGATAACAAGTGCTGGCAGGCCTCCACAAGGCCACCTAAGCTCAGGCAGCGTTTGACCTACTGACAGAAGCTACTGCCCTAGTTAGGTAATCTCCCTGTTCCAAAAGCATGGTCTCTTCATGACTTGTAACATCAACCACAAACTGAGAACACTAAACTTTATTTAGCTTATCTGAAAAGCTTATGGATGATAGAGATCTGGGTAAGGGGAACAACACCTTGTTCAAAGATTCCTGGAGATGGGTAAAACACCAGACTACAAAGCAGAGTAGAAAGTGAAGCTTGCAAAACTCACCCCACAACATAGATGCTCTACGAGAACACTTCTGATAGGCTTTCATGGAATCTGGCAACCACCAAGGACTTTTTTGTTACTTCACACAAGTAAGCTCCAAAACTGACCACAAGTCGGTCCAACAGAAAATACATTACAGATGCCCAGAAAAGCACTGCTGAACTTCTGAGTGCTACCTTGCAGATCCAGTTTATTCAATCCTCAGTACTCCTCTCCTTACCTAAGATTATGACACATGGAATTAAGCAAGTCTTGCCAACTCAATTTCAAAGTCTTTCTCAACAGAGATAAATTCCTTCTCTCCCATTCCTTCTGCTTCCTTTACTCAAGAGAGAGCATGAGCTGAACAAAAAATTAAAAAGACTTGGAACTGCAGTGTGGTGAGAAGAACAGAGACTATTTGGGTGGTAGCTACGGAATTCAGTGTATGGTGTGGGAGCAAGTCATTAGTCCCATTTCCAGTGCTCACATTTTTGTTTGCATGATATTTAATGTTTATTTTTAAAGTCACAGCACTTGAGAAAGTTTTTTGGTGCTTTTTTTTTTTTTTCCCCAGTATGTTCCTAGCTGTCATGATTGCCAGTAAATAAAAAACATGAACTTTGCAACCTTAAAATTCAAAACACACACACACTTCCTCTTTCTTAACATATCAGTTTTCAGTCCCAAGGATTTTGAATGGTTTGAGTTAATAATGCTGATTTATTCTCCTCTTCTTCCCACAGCAAACAATTTTACCCACACTGCTGTTAGCTGTTTACTTTTCAACAGGCACCACCTCATTCTATAACTCACTAGCTGTCAGCATTTTACAGTATTAGCAGTGCCAACTGTACCCCAGGAAAAGCACTCCTGCTTCTCACAGCTCAAGTGTTTATTACGCCGTACAGAAAAAAAATGGTGCCTTACCCACGGCCCTCTTCTTGATTCTGCAGGGCTTCACTAAGCTGACAAATGGCAATTGCATGCTTGATTAAAAACTGCAGTTAAGAAATAACTATTCTGAAGACATTGCGAACATAATCACCATAATACTATAACTACTTTGTTCTAACATACAAGTTCTTTTTTCTCTAACTTATATTTTGATAGACAGTTTAATATAAAAACTAAAGCTAATCTAGTGATTAGTTTAGAAAGCAGGCAAATGAGAAGCTAAATTCTGACAATTATCTGAAGAAATTTTGAAATTATATATGAGCCTAGAACTCATTATGACACAAAACTATCAAGTCAACATTTCCTTTTACAATTACAGATGAAGGCTGAAAGGAGGATGTTACTCGCTTTAAGCTCCTTACTCCCATAGGACCAACATTTGTTGAGATTTTAATACAGTGCTCACAAGGAAGTATAGCTACAAATCTAGTAAAACATAACATCTTCAAGGTTTCTCATATTATTTATGTAGTCCTTCACTGAATATCTTTATAGACTACACAATGCAAAAGCAGCCTGAACCCAGAAATACTCAGAAGTGCTGCTGAAATGTTAACCAACAGATGAAAGTAATTAATCTTTCTCCTTTCTCCTTCTTCCAATCATCTCCTCCTTTCCACCATCACAGAAAACAGAGGCAGGTAAACAGGAAAGGGAGAAAATATTTTTGTATTTGGCAACAGAAGGAATAAATTGCATAGCATAGCTGATATCATTACCTTCATTAACTATCTTTAACAACAGCAGCAAAAAGGACCTTCCAACAATTGACCACGCGTTACTAAACTTGTGTCAAATTGTGTAGGCAAGCTCAATGTGCTCAAGTCAGTTTAGACACTGGAGCAGCTAAGAAAGTTCTTTACTTCTAAAAATAATCTTTATGCTCAATGTTCTGAAACCTCATTCCACTTTTGAAATATTTATACTTTACAAAGAAGTTTTCTTCTTAAATCTCACGTGGAAATACAGCTGTGTAATTTGCCATAAATGTGGCACAGTGCTGTTACCAGCATGGCAATCTTTCAAACTATGATCCTACACCAAATCCCCAGAGCCTAGTGCTCCAGTAAACATAAAAAAGATCCCTACAATAGAGCAAGAAAATTGAGCAACAGAGACTTCAAGTTCTAATGAATCTGGTAACAAATAAACTCGTATAATTTTAGCTAGTAGGATGAGGCATTTTAACAAACTCTAAACATGTTTTTTCTAGGTGCAAGATTCCAATGCAGCCTTACAGGCATATGGTTTTCTCTAACAGAAGAGAGACATTCTGATACCTTATGCAGTTACCAAGGAACAAGCTTTGCTCTGCTTTGAAATTGTTTAGCTCTGGAAAATTCACCCTCCTTTTGTAGGAGAGGAGAGCAGAAGAAATCCTTACAGTTTCCTACTATCAAATACACAAATAAACTATTTTCTTTTAAAAGTTTTTGGTTTTTTTAACTACGAAAAACAATTAAGTATCTAAAAGACATATGCGGCCGACAGATAAATGAATCAACTGTCTATCCTCTGTATTGCTTTGAATATTTAATCTAAGTGATTTCATTTCAATTATTTACTACTTAAAATGCCATCAACCACTTAAAATTTTTATTTGGAAAATGCCTAAAAGTAGGTCACTGAAAACAGGCTTACACACAATAATGCACAGACGCATGGAGGATTAATATATAAAAATGGAGAGATAAAAAAAAAAAAAACTGACCTGCTGCTTCTGGTGTTTGTTTAGTAGGGCTAAAAATAAGATGTAACATCTGGAGCAGTCTGCTAAAGCTGCACAGAAGTCATTGTACGAAGAAAGTTTGCTACAAAGGTACAAAAACAACATACAAATGAATGAAAGCACTTTTTTTCCCACAAAAGATTAAAAAAAAAAAAAAATCACTCTGCTTTTGACTCTTAGAGCCCTGTTTTCCAACATGTTAAATAAATGCCAATACTTTGACTTCTAATAGAAGCACATGCAGTTATAGAAGAGCGTGAATAATGGAAAGAATTTTAAGGAGCTTCCCAACCTGCCTGCCACTATGACACAACAAGCTCATAGTAGAATCATAAGCTTAAGGTGAAATGGGAAGTCAGACTCCCTTCCTAACATATGGTAAAATAGATGCTAGCAACAGCACCAACAGAACACGTCTGTCACTACCAAACACAGAAATCAGATATTTCTGCAGTCACAATATTACCTCTGCATTTTCCCTAACTGCTCCAGTCCTACGTTGCTCATTTTTATCATTACAAAAAAACAGAATCAGACATGCTTTGGTCATACTAGAAATACTGCAGTAACTATGGTAATGTCTTCCTTTCCATGTAGTCAAAACCAGCAAACGTCTGTGCTGATATTCAACTACCAGCAAGACTTATGAACTTGGAGAAATGAAGAATTTGAACAGATCGGAATATATTCTCTTTGGAGAAGCTATGTAAAAGTTACTGAAAGAAAAAAAGAATAATTATTCTGTATTGCTATGATACAGAAGAAAATTTAAATCTGTGTTCCATACTGCATAGAACTTTTTTTTTTTTTGCCTGAGACTGCAATTTCCAGGAAGCTAATTAAATTGATTTTTATCAAATCAAATTTTTATCTTGAGAACCTGCAGTTCACTGAACATAAGAAGAAAAAAAAACAAAAACTGAAGCAGCAGGAAACTTTAAATAAAACAAATTACTTTTGCTCCACATTGAATTCTAGATCAAGTAAATGTCCTTGTCAGAATTACAGTCCAATTACAAAACCATCGCCTAACCAGCCTCAATTTCCATGGCATTTTCCCAAGTAAAAGAAATGCTCTCTCCCTAGAAGGAGATATGCTGAAAGTGCTGGGATCCCTGCTAGAAGTCAACTAATTTTTAGGAGCAAATTTAGAAACATAAGTGGACAAGATGACAGGGGGCTGGGGAGACAATTCATAGTATCACAGAATGATCTAGGCTGAAAGGGACCTTAAAGCTGATCCAAAGCCAACCCACTGCCAAGGGCCGCCCAAGGCTCCACTCAGCCTGGCCTTGAATGTAAATGCTACCAGGCATGGGGCATCCACAGATTCCCTGGGCAACCTGTTCCAGTGCCTCACCACTCCAAGTAAAAAGTTTCCTCCTAATGCCTAACCTTAACTTCCCCTTAGATTGAAATCATTTCTCCTTGTCCTATCATGTCTCCCTCCTGTTTGTAAACTCCCCTTAAGAAGGGGAAGTTCATCTGAATGCTTTACAGGGAGCATACATGACAAAGGATCAGACTTAACTTGCTTTTATCTGTGAATAGGAAGGAATGAGAGACCCTTACATAGCTGCTCTTCAAAGTGCAGCTCTGTCTCATCTATCAAGGAGAATGCAATAGATGATTTGGAGGAACTGAATAAGGGGAAGATTCCACAGCTGGACGGTTTCTCAATGCACATAATCTCAAAGGCAACAGGACTCACATAGGTAGTAAAGCAGCAAAGGCAAATATTTCAACCAGAATGGCACTCATAAATTGTGTTTATAATCCAACTTCTCCTTAAATAGCCAACAACTAATTCCACTACTTGTACAAAATCCTCAGACTGCTATCAAGTCCATTTAGCACTGGGTATTGCAAGTTTGTGCTTGGTAACTGGGAGTTATTCAACTTCAGATTACAAAAACTTTTGGGGTGATTCACTCATCCCAATCTTCCACTAAAAAGCACCATGCTGGGAAGAAGCCACTGAGCTGCTCATAAAACAGAGATTCTTTCAGCATTTCTACCTGCACATTCAAGTCTTGATCCTACAGATTAATCTCAAACATTCTGTAAAAAGTTCAAAATAATGAACAACATTTTCTCCCTTGTGAATTTTATCCTACACAGTCCTCCTAAAAAACATGGCCCAAAATAGGATTCATATCTAATCACTTATGCAGTTTTAAAATTTAAGAAATGGTACTTTAAAAATCTGAATCTGCGTGAATGAAGAGTGACACAATGCAACAAAACATTTTTACCAGAGACAATGACTCCAAGTTGTATGCCTGCAATAAAACAATTCTATTGCTATTAATAAAGACATCATTATCATATGAAATCAATCAAACTTAATCCAATGAATGCAAAATAAATTTTCCAATTTTAGCATTTGATCCTGCTTTTGTTAAGGTCACTTGAGGCAGAAACACTGACTCGATTGCAAGCTGAAGTCAACAGAACTGTATTCACTACACACCTGAAAATCCTGACAATGTAGGTGCACACATCCTTGTCAATCATATGCTGCTCCAGTGCCACACAGAGCTCACAGACAGCACCACTGCAAATGAGCTGGCATCTCGTCTGAGGTAAGTCAGCCAAGTTTCGCAAAGTAGCTGTCAGCTGCACATAGAATATTTAAAGATTCATTAACCATGGCTATTTACTGCAGAATCCATACTGTTCTGAAAATGTAATAAAGCTCAGGTCTCATTTATAATGTCAAAGGCAGTCTGAATATCCTGTTAACATCCTGCAGGTATGTATTTATCAATAACTCTTAACAGAAACATGTAAGTAAAAAAATAGTGCATATTAAAATGAATGTTTGAAAATGAAAGATTGACATTGGTCTTTGCCTGCATGCAGACTCTTCCTGTGAGGAAAACATCATCTTCCACTTATTTTAAAATCTTCTATTCATGAATATGATCATAAAGCAATCAAAAATTAAGTTAAATGCTATGGACAGTTTAAGTGATATTTTGTATAAGATGATCAGAGGGCTGGAGCACCTCTCCTACAAGGAAAGGTTGAGGGAACTGGGCTTGTTTAGCTTGGAGAAGAGAAGGCTCCAGGGAGACCTCATTGTGGCCTTCCAGCTCTTGAAGGGAACATATAAACAGGAGGGGGAATGGCTGTTTATGAGGGCGGACAGTGATAGAACAAGGGGAAATGGTTTTAAACTGAGACAGAAGAGGTTTAGGTTAGATATTAGGAGGAAGTTTTCCACACAGAGGGTGGTGACGCACTGGAACAGGTTGCCCAAGGAGGCTGTGGATGCCCCATCCCTGGAGGCATTCAAGGCCAGGCTGGATGTGGCTCTGGGCAGCCTGGTCTGGTGGTTGGCGACCCTGCACATAGCAGGGGGGTTGAAACCAGATGATCATTGTGGTCCTTGTCAACCCAGGCCATTCTATGATTCTGATCTTGTAAATTTACATGTAAGTCCTGTAAATTATACTGACATTTGACACATATTTTAACTGTGAGTTATAATGATGATGAACTGATTTTAAAAGGCAATATGATTTATTCACTTTGATTAACACATTCCAAAGTTAATCTAGATCAGGAGAAATCTAGCGTACAATCAGTATAGAAAATGAAAAGCTGAAGTCCAAGTTTATTTTGGAGAAATCAAAATATTTTCAGAAGATACTGTTCTATTTCAAGGAGTTTCAAACAGGAAATATTCTATCACCTATACATATACACAATGAATCAGCTTTGCATATTTTGAGATGCTGTGGTTCTCTTCCATAACAAGGGTATTCAAATACCAATGTTAGAAAAGCAATGACAGGTAAGTGAACAGTTAATCAAAACCAGAAACTACAAAATTAAAGTGGGGCCAAGATTAAGTGTTCCAATTGCTCATAATCACATAAAACTTGAAATGAAATATATCACTGAGGTGCAGTGATTGTCTGGTGATAAGTAATACATCATTTTATAGAAAAATCTGTCAAAGAGCAGGTTACGTTGTTGCTTTTGAGCAGCTTTTGCTCAGATGGTACTAAGCACAACACTACCATTTTCCAACTGCTTTTAAATTTTCTGTCCAATTTCAATACACTTGATGAAAAATGCATGTCTGCAATCACTACAAGTTTTAGGAAACAACAACCAACTGTACAGACTGCACAGAAAATGAGAAAGAGCTCAAGGGCTGCCAGAAGTAGCTGAAGTTGAGCAAGCAAGTTGGAAGTACTGCTTGCTCAGGCATGCAAGAAGTTAATCTGTTCAAAAACAGACTTCACTGATCGATACATATAAAATACTTTACTCCCTTCAAATTCGATGGGCCATTTATTTTTATTAGCACAGGACAAAAATCAAGGCAATAAAATATCAAACTCCACAAAGATACACAGTAATTACTTCTGTTAAGGGACCATTTCTGAATCTCTAGATTTGCAAAGCTGAAGCGAAACACCACCTCAAGTAATTAATGCAAATCTACAACAATTCAGACCAAGGCTGAAAGCCTTCTGGAAAAGAAAAACATAAGAATTGAAAAGACTTAAAAACAGACCCCCACGGTCTGCAGTGAGAATGACTCTCTAAACCTAACATGGAAGGTCTCTACAAAAATCAACATATTATAACCATCCATCCACTATGTTCCAGTCCTGCTGTTTAACTACCAGGGCCCTCATCTACACTAGATCCACAATGGCAGCACAAATTCTGTAAGTTTTACAGTCTCAGCTCAAGTATCAAGAACAACTTTGCATTTCTTCCTTTACTCAGCATTTATTTTGTTATTATTTTATTAGAGCAGTTCCTTTAGTTTCTAATGGAGTAATTCTTGGTTTTTGTTATTTAAATGAAAAAACATCATTTTAACAGCAATATCCAAATACAGCATTCCTAAAATTCTACAAATATCCAGAAATATTCTGTTGGAAATGGTCAGAGATCACTATGCAAGTTATGAACTTCCATAGGTTCCCAAACCATTTGGAATCAGACAACCTCAGATTTACTGCTTATGGAAAACCCTGTTTTCAAAGAGCATTAGTAATATTTTCCAAGCATGCTGCCTCACTCATTTCTTGATATTACAAAAAAAAAAAAAAAAATCATGTTGCCTTTTTGCATTTACAAAGCCTAATACCTTGATGAGCTTAAACTGTCAAGAATTTTACTATTAGTGACCAGTGACCAGTATCATGCAGTCTCTGCATGGCCCAGGAGTAATTCTACTAAATGTATGAAAAATACAAAAGTAAGTATACGTGTAAAGTTACTGAAAACGTACTCCCATTTCCCCTAACACTTCATCAGGAAAGCTCAGACAGAACTATAAAACAATCTTAGAAAGGACAATAAAGGCCAGTCTGAAACAACAGCTGCACAGAAAGATGGTTCAGGTAATACATAAACAACAACTAGCACATAAGTGAAATATGAAGGTAACAAAGCACAAAATAACAGAAGCCAGCCAAACAAATTCAAGAGCTATTCTAATTTCTTCAAGCAGACAACACGATTCAGGGAGAAATGCAAAACAATTGACTCTAGCAAATCTTACCAGCTCTAATTCTCATGTTGCCACATGAAAGATCAAATTCATGAAAACTGGAAATTTAACAGCAGATAAATGCTATTTTTAAAGGGAAAGACATTTTAAGTGCTTTTCAATTAAGGAACACAGAGTACTTGTTAAGTCTTGTCAGTGAAACTTCAAAAGCTTTGGCTTTTGAATAAGCATTACCATAATTCATAGGAATATGATCAGCTGCAGCAACATGAGTCAGAGATTGTCTTGGTCTCTTGTCTTCTATTATGGAAAAATACATATTATTACAAACATTTTTTATTTTTGTATTCTGGAACTTCTGCATAACAAATATTTTGTTAAGAATGAAGACATCTGAGGGAAAGTTTATTCCCATAAAAACAAGCTGGCAAGATTATGTATAACACTGCCATCTGGTGATTGTGCAATTATACAGTTAAAGAATGAAGGGTCAGTCCCGTTTAACTGAAATACTTGAGTTTTTAGGATTTAGAGCCAGCAGAGACTCCCTCGGAGATCATTGTGAATATTTAGCATGTTTTTCTTCTCCACTGTAATTGTCTTCCATTCCTGAAAACCTATGTTTGTTCATTATTTCTCTACAACACTGCATATTTGACCTTTTGCTAGAAGTTAAGTATGGCACAAAATCTTCTTTATTCTCAAAATACGATCATTGAAGACGAGGTCTTCAATACAACATCCCTGAAAATAGAGCAGTTCCTATATTTATGACAGTGACTGAAAATTTAATTGACACAGAATAAATTGTGCACTTTCATGTAGATTTGTTAAAGAAAATGGCATGAGAAAGTCACAGAGGAATTCCATAGCAGCAGGAATCACTGTGCTACTACAGGAGAGATACAGAATACAAATTACAAAGAAAGGAAGAAAAGGCAATGCTCCAAAGTTGCAGGGAAGTTCAGACAGCAGGTCAGCCAGCTGAAAACAGTGATTCATTTGTTTTATTAATTTGCAGTTTGCAAACTCACCCGGTCTGTTTATGTTTATATAAAGATTATACACATTTATGGAGAGACATTGCTCCACTAAAACAAAAAAATAAGTAAGAATAAGGTGATGGTATAAGCTATTCTTTTCTCATATAATTTCAAGTACCAAATCCCATGTTTGTAAGTGATTATGCTAAACGACAGATTTCTCTAAACATTGCTTCAGAAAATCACCTAATCCATTTCCCTGTGAAGGGCCAGTAGCTTACAGTTATCCCACTGGCTAATCTTTACCTCATACTTTACAAATGCAGTTGGCAAATTTTCAATAAATACATAAAAAACTCACAAGCTATGCATAACTTAAGATGTACTTACCAATTTTTTATTTTTATTTTTTTTTCTAAAACACCTCAGTTTAAACTCAGTTTCAGGGCAAAGGACTATTTTTTTTTTTTTTTTTTTTTTAATAGTCATCGCTTACTAAGATTGCTTACCAGAAATTTGAGCCTGCTGCCTTTAAAAAGTTGGCTTTTATATTATTGACCTTTTCCTTAAATTCTATTTCTGGCAAAAAACACTTTGTCAAACCAATGGAGATGTGTTTTCCTACCTGTTTTTTTTTTTTTTTAATGCATTTTTCTTGTAATAAAAGCTTTTTTTTTTTTAATCTTCTAGGGCATAGCAGAATACATTTGTATTTATTACTGCAATTTAAAGAATTTACAAGGGAACACATTTACTATAAGATCCAGAACACTGTCAGCACCATACTGTAATAATCACAAATTTGTTTAATTAAATACCTAAAAATATTTCTATTTACTCAGAAAGTCCAAAGCCATTAAAATTAACTACTGAAAATATGTGCAGTAATTCAGTTTTGGTGCTGAACAACTTAATGTAAACTTGTTAAAAGTAATTCTATTCAAATGCAGGTACAACTCTTGTCAGTGGTGCACAAGGTTAGCTTATCTCCTCTGATTAAGTTTTTTATTTCCCTGTGAAATGTTTACTTTTAGAAATGAAAGTAAATGCTAACCTGGACTAATAGGTGGCCCAATCTGGAGAAATGTGAGTCATTTTCTTTTATACTATTAATCTGCTTCATTAACTGCAGCAACAATTCAACAGCTCCTTTGCTGACCATTTCATTAAGGAGCACTGCATTTCCAGACATAAATTTTACAGCTCCCAAGCAATACAGGATAGCTTCATTGTTTTTTTGTAGATCTTCAGTTCTCAGGACCTCCAACAAACAATCTAAAACAAAAATTGTTAATTTTAGGCTTTCTGAATAATAATTTAATGTTTGATATAGTTCAGTCAACAAAGATTAACAACTGAAAAGAAAAAAAAAACCCTCTTGTTGAAATCCTTCTATACTTTTCTAATAAATAGGTAAGAAAAATTGGGTATTTGGATCAAAACCAAGGAACAATTGTTGATGAATAACAGAACTGACTTCTTTCTCTCCAGACTTGAAGAACCAATATCAGTTGTAAACACACTGTGGTAATCATTAAACTCTTCAGTCAAGATTTGAAAAAGTATGTATGCCTGGAATTTTGTGTATTAGACTTGAGACATTCAAAGGGGTTTATTCTTTTTACTTGCTGAAAAATCAAATGTGTTAGAGACTCTCACGTGGAGCATTAAAAAGCACAGATGAGCAATTCAAATCTCACACTTGAAGTCTGCCCGTACAATGCTTAGCTTTACTCTCTTTACTGATTAAGTTACTGTATACTTTTGCATTATGACACCACTGTCAGACACCTGAAATGCTAAATGAATGCTTGTTAATACAAACCTAGTGCATCTTTCCAAATGGAGATATTCTGAATTTGGCAGATGTATTTTAAATAAGCAAATCTAGCCAATATCATGCTTTTGAATTTCTTGTAACTGACTGAAAGCTACATATGATTCTTCCTATGTTTCATCCACTTGAATAGAAGTATTTTCCCACCTTATTTGATATTAGAGATTTCTAAAGTTTTTCTGTCTGCATTGGGTTTACACGGCAAGTTTTCAGTAGCAGAGATGCTGCAGGAATGGCCTGTATGTGCAAAACCCATCACTGACCCATTCCAGATCCCAGTGAGCTCCAGTTTCTCCAAAAAGGAACCACTGCTGCCAGATCTGAGCCACGAGTGATGCTGGGTGCATCTCAGGGAGAACAGATTGAAGAAAAACAGCTGTGTGACAGCAGATGGGAGAGAGGAGAATGTGAGAGAAACAGTCCTGCAGACACCAAGGTCAGAGCAGCAGGGCAGGAAGTGCTCCAGGCATGAAAATGAAATTTCCAAGAGAGGCCCATGGAGGACCAGCCTGTCCCTGTGCAACTAGGCACTGTGCAGAGCAGGTCTCCACATGCAGACACATGGAGGAGATTGAGGAGCAGGAGCAAAGGGTGACCACGAAGGAGTGAAAGAAAGCCGGTTATGAATTGCTCCATTCCCCTGTGCTACTCAGGGGCAGGAGACAGAAGACAGTGGATGCTTCAACATCTAAGATATAAATAATAAGAAAATACGTACCTAGCAATGTATCATTTTGAATGAGGTAGTCATTTTTTCCATTCCTGCAAACTTTAAATGCAAGCTTGCAGGCTCCGAGAAGATTTTTTCCATCCACTTTCATCTGCAAGATAAAAGTCATAAGAATCATAAGAATCACAACTAATACCTGCATACTAGTTTTACTGTGAGAATGCAGTGTCTGAATTCTTAAAACCCAGCTAAAACCATGATAGGATACACAGCCACACTGAAAAGTTTGCAAAAGTAAAAGGCACTAGCTAGATTTAAGCTCTCTTCAGCAAATTGTGGAGACTGACTTTGAAATAACAGATATATATAAGCTTTTCATGTAGTATACGATTGTACTTTTTTTTTCTTCCTAATTCACTCATCTAAAGAAATTCCACACAGGATTCACTGGTTCTGCATCTATGGCCATACAACAAGGAAATCCAATGCAACAATATATTTCGTAATGAAAGTAATTCTCAGATATCAGAAAAGATCTTACAACATGCTAAAGGTTACTGAAAGAAAGGAAAGCAAGAGTTAGATCTCTAATGGCAATCTCTTCCTTGTCTCTGCTTTTGAAGGTTTGAAGGGCAAGTTCCTGCTGCTCAGGATTTTTAACAGATGGAAAAAGGAAAGAAAAGACAGGAAAAAATGAAGGAAAAAATGTTTGTAACAGAACATTTCTTTTAAGCACCACGTAACACCTATGCGGTATCTGAATATATATTTTCTGATTAAAATAATATATATCAACTTAAAGAAGAAAATTACTAATATGTCTACAATGCAATGACACTTGGTATCACTTCAGTAGTAATAATCTATATATACTTTATAGAAGCTGAACTAGAAGGTTTAAGAGCACCAACTTAAGTGAGAGTTCTATTAGGAAACATTGCCAGCATGTTTTAAGATTTAACATAACACATCAACATTTTGACTAAATTCAGTTCTTAAAAATTCTCAGTCAGCACAGATGAACTAATTCCTAGGGTAAATCATCTGCCTAAAATTATAGATTATTAAAGATTCTACATATAATCTTTCATAAAATCAGACAAATAATCAAATGCAGATTGCTATTGAGGGAGAAAAAGCAGTCTGTAAGGGATGTAAGGACAGCTCCTAAGGAAATGCATTCAAGCAAGATCTCACTATACAGGTACACACGTAACATAAGCTAAAGCTAAGCACTGATTTCAGTATTTTTTCATAATTTTAAACTCCTAACCTATTGATTATACAAAAAAAACATAGCAACACTGGGATTTCAATGTATAGTGTTGATGCTAAGACTAAGTAACCTGCTCCTTGTGGAAATATTTTGAATCTGTAAATCACAAATTTATAAAAAGAAAAGGAATCTTAAACAGAACGGAATATTGCAGAAAAATATATTACCTTCCAGTTTCTTAAGTACAACTACATTAATGGAACTACTGGGACATGGCACCATGGTGACTCACCTTACCGTGAATGAAAAATAGATAAAGCTTTTAGAAGCACACATCTGTTGTGTCACACTTAAATCAGAGATGACTTGTCACCACACTGACATTACTAGCAACAAAAATGATGAATTCAAAACAATCACTTACCAAACCACTGACTCACATGAGTGCACGTCTATAAAACTGAGCACTTGTCTACTTCAAATTCTACTAATAATTCAGTCTTACCTTTATATTACTTCTGATCTTATGCCTTAGTTTTAGCATAAATTAAAATTACTTATTTCAATCCCAATACGTCTGTCTTAAAAAAAAAAAAATCACTTGACTGTGCCTTTGGACATATCCTGTTCTTTCTGTAGTTTTTTTGGTTGGTTGGTTGGTTTTTTTGTTGATTTTTTTTTAAATGAAAATCACTAGCTCTATCTTAAAAACCTTATTTTAAGGCATCCACAGTCTCACAATCAAACACTGTGACTCCAGTGAGAATCTAAGTATATCCACCCTAGATATCTTACGCTTGTGTACAGCTTTTTCCACAGTCATGCTGGAAAAACAGTTTATTTCCCTTCTTTTCAAAAATAATTGAAGAGATTTAGCATGTACCTTTCTTCAGTCTACTCTATGTCAAACAAACTTGATGGTCTCTATCAAATGTGCTTTTCAGATCTCTGACTATTTAAGACATACTTGCAGGCTTCTATTCATTATGTACTTTAAATGACTTCTCTTTGGATATAATTTTTCAGCTTATGTTCATCTCCCTTAATTATCAGCTACATTTAGACCATGTTTCCCTAGCTCACTTATACAAATATCGTACAAAATGGTAACAAAAACCTTAGAAGTGTAATCTAACAAGAGGGCTGCCACTAACATTATCTGACCTTGGAAAATGTCCTTGGCTATTCCAGCTTTCACAAAGAAAGGGACAATTATAATTACTTAATTAAAAAAAAAAAAAAGTTTTAATATTTTCAGATAAATGTGTTTAAAGTCAATATATTATTCAAAATTAAACTTTAATTCCAGACCTAACTTTTTAAACTGTTTCTAAAATCCCAGTATATGTATCTCAGCTTAGGACACCATCTCTTTTCCATGCACAAGGAATATGCCAACCACGGTACACCAACTACCATACTTTGAGTCCCTATTTCCTTTCCCAGATGCAATTTCCCTGCAAAATATAGGCTCCAACAGGTGCCCATCTGAATGAATGGCTGTATTTGTAAGGCAAGAAACCGTAACTAGCATATTGTTAGTTTTAAACACCTTTTATAAGGATGAAACGAAAAGCTAAATATAAGTTGTAATTCACAGTGTTAAGCTTCACATTCTATCAAATAGCATTTTGAAAAACTTACAGACAGAATAATCTTTGCCAGGTTCAGGCAAAGTGGATCTGAATCAATTTCTACAAGTTTATACAATGTCTTCAGAAGCATACTTCTTCTTTTACATCTTTTTCCAAGCATATTTCCTTCATTCAAGACTTGATAGAGTTTGGTGCAAGCCAAACAAAGACTTTCTATGTTGTCTTCTAATTGAAGGGAGTAGGAAAAGAGAGAAAAACACAAAATAATAGTCAGTGTCATCTTTTCCAGAGCATCTTAATAGACATAAACACAGGAGAACAAGATAAAGAATGCGTTGCATAAGAACAAAAATAATGCAACCAATAAATCTTCAAAGATGATAACGCAATTCTCAGAAACAATTGTATGTTGGCCTTTCAAAAAGAAAAGGGGTCAACAATATGATTTTCTTTAGTTCCAGCCATTTCACAGGAAGGACATGATTCGATTTTACCTCTAAATAATACTTTGCTTACCTATAAAGAACGTGTCGCTATGAAAAAGTTTAAAAGTTTAAGAAAGTTCAGCAACTCACATTTCACAGTATCAGCACTAAACAAGGAAAGGTTGAATTGCACAGCTGTTTCCATGTTCTCTGACAGCTGCCTTTTCTACACATCAGTTACAGGTGTCGGAATCCTGCCTTTCTAAGATAACAATATAGTTTGGGAATCACTCAGAACTGTACAAGTGTTCCAGACTTATCTACATCTGCAAAATTATGCAAAAAAAAAATCTAATCTGTAGCATACTACAATGAATGCTGCTCAAGATACTGTAAAGAATCAAACCCTTTATTTGACATTCACTTTTAACTACTTGTAAAAACAAAACTACTTCTATATTCTATATAATATTCACAATGGGAAACTGAAAAAAAAGAAAAAAACAAACTTTTAAATAAAACTTAAGGATGGATTTCAGGGTTAAGTCTTCCAAGCCTTCTTTAATTTACTCAATTTTGCTTCAGTATTCTGGGTCACTGTACACTTTTCTGAGTCATCTAACACTTTAAGCACAAGGGGAAATTTTCATTGAGAATTCCTCACTTTTCTAAACTTAGTTCAGACTTTCAAATACAGCCCACACTTAAAATAGTGAATCTACGAAGTACTTTATTTTTATAACTATTATCTCATCACTGACTGTTAAATTGGTAGAGCTATGGCCTCTAAAACAAGCTGATTTCATTACACAAGATGTTCTCTTAGCCAGTGTTTTTTATTTTATGCTACTAAGTCACTGAACATATTAAAGCATAAACGACTACACAGTTCAACTACAGTTATTCTTCTCTAAATGAGTAAATGAGTCTTGTGTTTCCTCCAGGAAGTAAAACAGAAAATACATACTTTCAAGAACAGTGTTACCCACCACTTTCCAGTTCTTGCAGAATTGGTAGAACCTTCACATGCCAAAAGCTTTTTTCCTCTTCCGATTCATCTATTCTCGTACCATCCTCTAATCCTTCCAAACACATTCAAAACAGAAGAGCATATTCAGTGAAGATTTCAACTTCTACACAAATAAATAATTACAAACACTTCATTTATCGCTCAGGGGGAAAAAAAAAAAAAGCAAGCTAAAATTGTCTGATTTTGCTATACTCTGGGTTATTCTACCAGTTCAAGCTTCTGTTGTTGCAGTTGTTTACAATTCCTCAAAAACGAGAGTTTTGCACAAAATTAGATGGAGAAATGTTTTGATATATAAAGCTGCCCTATAATCCAGATTTGTTTCTGTTTGCTGACAATGTTTCATTTGACTGCTGAACTGGAAGGTAACAACTACACTTACATCACTGTGTTTTTCAGCTTTGTATCTATGTGACAGCTCATTCTGTGTTAAAAACATCCATACTACAGACAGTCCTCTAAGTGTAACAATTTTATCTAGTTCACATGTACAATATTACACTAAAATTGATTAGCTGACACTTTGTTCTCATAGAATCATAGAATGGCCTGGGTTGAAAAGGACCATAATGATCATCTAGTTTCAACCTTCCTGCTATGTCCAGGACCACCAAACACTACTAGATCAGGCTCAACAGAGAAGTAAGGGAAAAATTCTTACTAATTACATTCTGTTAATAACGCTAAGCGCCTCACACAATCAGCTTTTAAAATCTTCTTAAGTTCAAGTAAAATACATGCTTCTTATTCTTTTGTTACATGTTAGACAGTTTCTAGCACAGTTGGTATTTTGGGAGATAAATAGCAAACTCCTGACATCTGAAATATGCCCTGCCTCCAATAAGGATGACAAAGTTTGAAGTCAAACCATTTCCATTTTTCTTGTGCAACCTCTACCTATGAAATAGCACAAATAAATTATAAGGCTTGTAAATGGAGAAGATAAAGCCTCAAATAGCAACTCCCACTCTAAGTAAATGGAAGAAGAGCACATCACAGCCTTTGTCAGAATGATCCAGAATCACACAATTGCTCAGTTCTAGTAAAACAGTAATAAAGTAACAGTAAAGTAGAAAACTTCAAGTTGTCATATCAGATTCTCAAATATACACTTGAGATGCATGAAACATGTCAATTCTCAGAAAATAACATTTAAAATCTGTTCTACAAAAATTAGCAAAATGCATCCCTACAAGAGAATCCAGAATCTTCAGCTAATATAAGCAGGGCAAAGCTTTGTTAATTTCCAGGCAGCTATGTCAGCTTACACAAAGTGATAAGATGATGAAGTGTTAATGGGAAACTTCTTGAACATTGTTCCTGTACACCAACAACACTAAAAATGCAATATATTTAGAAAACCAAATATATTGTTCAGAGAAAAAAAAAAAATCTCCAAATTATAATATTTAGTTGATGTATGTTTGAATGTAGTTCACATCTGGGAGAAAAAAAAAAAAAAAAAAAAAAAAAAAAGGAAAAGATGTAACAAAGAAAAAAAAAGTTTTTGGCCAGAGGAGACTGAAATGCTTTATATGAAATACCTGTTAATCTTGTCTTCCAGTCTATACTCCTTGGCTTCGATGCAACTACGCCATGCTTTTTCATCTGGTTACTAAAAGAAACAACATACATGTACACAGAAAGTACATCAGAATACAATGCCTACTTCACATGCAATACAAGATCTGTGTATTGCTAACTGGAAAATATACATTATCTTTACTAATGTGTTAATTACCTGCTCATTAAAAATGACGCATAAAAACAACATTCTCCTGCATGTATTACAGAAAGCTCTTTCAGAATTACTGACTGCTTTACACCACAAGAGGTCACCCTTAAGGAATACAAACTAACACATTTCCACTTCTTACAGTAACACCGAAAGCTAACCAAACTAAACTCAGAGATTCAATTTTTCATCATCAGTATCATTAACTGAATATGAGCTCAACTAATTTTAAACTGCAGGTTTGTTCATTCACAAGGACAATTGCTTCTTCTGATAGAATTAACACTTCTAAGAAATTCAATTAGAAGAATTTTCAAAGAAACAAACTCCTTGATAGACCTTAATGTAAACTCAGCCTGTGAACTGTTTCTAACAGTAGAATGGTCACTGGTTTTGTTAGTAAAAGAAACATGCTTTGTATCTCTTTTTTGGTTTGTTTGTTAGTAATACCATGATTCTAGTTGATTATATCATTAGTCTTTGGCCAAAAGAAACTACTACATACATCTTTGATAAATGTATTGTCTGTTTGCCTAAGTACCCAAGTAACACTGATCTAAATATATTATTAAATTTATTATTAATTTACTATTAAAATAGAAATCTTTCCTCCCTTAAGTTATATAGACCAAGACTTTTGTCTTCAGCACATGTTTAATTTAACACTCCTTATTCCATTTATAGTCCATGTACCAACGCAACCTAATCCCCTAAATTTCCTTCTAAGGCTAATAGAAGCATGTTAGTAACGTTTTTATTTTTATTTTTATTTTTAACCCGTTAACTTAGCTGCTATAAAGCTTAAAGCTAAACTGTTTTTTAAGTGGTTTGCTGGATTGCGGCCTAAATCCTGTCTGCCAGTCCAGACAGAGCTGTAAGTCATCCTATCAACAGATGGAGACAGAATAAAACACAAAGCTCGTGTAAGATCACTTCGCTATCAAAGAGACTGGAAAGCTGACTGCTATCAGTCAAAATTTCCCAAGCAATCATTACAGAGGAACATTCACTTCATTATGGCTAACGGTGAGTCATGCTTTCCTTTAGAGCAGGAACATTAAAGTTCTCTAAAATCCAAATGCTTATACAAACTATCCTGAAATTCCTTCATCTCATGTATGGCAGTCCATAGTCAGCTGAGGAAGCAACACTTGAAAGGTGGGGGGAAAAAAAAAAAAAAAAAAAAAAAAAAAAAAGACAAGCACGTGCACACCTAAAACAGACCAATATGTGTAGATACATAGTTTAAGAAACAGTTCTATAGGACATGTTAAATACAATTTAGTGTATTAATACAAATCAACACTTGGTTCCATTTACGTGAGTTGTCCTACAAACCATTCTGAGGTTTTGCTTTCCCTGAAATGAAGGCTATAACCTCGGCAAAGGACACCACGTAAGTATGATAATAATAACTATTTCACTCATCTAGTACAGATATACTCAGAAATCAGAATAACAACAATGATATGCAGGCATGCTGACATTACCTGCCTATATGAATACAGATGTCTGAGTTTGCTTTCCTCAGAAAAAAAAATAAAATAAAATAAAATAAAATAAAATAAAATAAAATAAAATAA